CATTGATATTTATTACGGCTATCGTTCGGAAACACTTAATATATTTTATTTTTACAACAACCACATTTTTTTTTTCATTAATCACTTACATTGGATCATTAGTTATCGATTTGATTTGCAAACCATATCGAAAAGATTGTTGTTTAAATGTTTGTCGTAAAAATGAGGTTAAAATTGTGTACTACTTAGCGGTTAGTTCACCGTACATGATATTCCGCGATGGACTCAAAATTTGACCTATACACCTAATATTTTATCAATAAATATGTTATCAATAAATTATTATCTTAATTAGAACCTCATTAGAATATTAAAAAAAGCACCGGAATAAATGTGCCATTTAGGGCACCATCTCTGAAATCCAAACAGCTACGGGCGGGCAAGAAGCTTTTTCTAAGAAGTCATAAGTTTTACATTAGGAACTCTTCTCTATAATCCGTGGGTATGCCCATAAAAAATTGCGACACGTGCCGGTGGTCGTTTGGTTGAGGCAAGTGGATTTGTGTATAATATTGCCTACCGCCTACGCCAGCATTATTTTGTGTACGTTTAGTTTTATAAAAAGCCATTCGGAAATGGGGAGAAAAAACTTCACACGCACTAGTCCGAAAGGTTAATTTAGTCGTAAAAACTACAAGCTAATTATTGTAATTGATTTTTGATTCGCGGAAGACATAAATAATATATATATATATATATATATATATATATATATAATACTCTTCCGCGCTTAAAATTACACGGTCGGCCATGTTCTACATACGATCGACCTCAAACGCTGTCAGGGGAAATCTCTTCTGCAACTCTCCGATGTCTCATACACGACGGTAATAGCTGTAATAAGAACATTAGGTACAAAGATTAAGGAAAAATAATTAGAAAGCGCCGACCGACAACGATGATGATACGGTTTCGTTGTATTTATAATGCACGTTTTCACGCCGCTCGTTTTAGTGTGATCTTTGCCCTCTTTTCCTCTCTCTCTCACTCTGATCTTTGTTTTGCAAATATTATCTTAGGACGCTTAACCCTTTTAATTGTTTTAGTTGGAAAGCCGAACGTTATAAGGTCTTTAGATGAGGTAAGCCGTAAAGATCCCAGAAAACACGTGCGCCCCGTAAACTTATAATACAACCCGGCGGGTCGAAAGCCGGTAAAATTGTGTAAGCTGGCAGTCATTGGTCCGGTAACCGAGTTTTAGATACCACTGTACGTTTTGTAGAAGGGTGGAAAGGGTACTTTTACCTTTTCTCTATAAAAACACTGATTGAATGTGTGAAATAAGGTAATATAAAAAAAAGTTTGTTCATCCGGGCGGGCAACTGTCTGGGGGAAGAAATGGCCACCTGCACCTCTCTCTGGGGCCAACTTGTTTGGTAGCGTTAGGTCGGTAGCCAGCTATAAACCCAAAAATGCCAAATCTAAACCGTCTAAGCTCCGATCGGCGGAAATAACGGACATTAAACGAAAGAAAGAGAGAGAGAGAGAGAATAAAAACACATTCGGTACGATTGTCGGTGACGTTTAAAACGGGAGCAGGAGGGAGTTCTGCGATAAACCTCTCAGTATATCTAAAAAAAACAAACTTGTTTCTGGTTAAAGTTTTTTCTAATAATATATCTATGAAAAGTACATGCGAAAAGTCTCGTACCTCTCATGGTAGTTTAAGCATTATTATCTTGTTAGTGAACATTTTAACTTTACAACGTTGTGTTTTAGAAAGATATGTGTTTAGTAAAAAATTAGTTTGTAGTGTAACTACATTTTAGTTTTACTTAAAATGATGTACTGAAACTTTTAAGACAGTCTAGACTAACTAACATTTACGTCTTCCTTTTAGTAAAGGAAGTATAGTTACAGAGTAAACTGCACTGTGTTGAAAGGTTAAAAATCTAAAAATCTAGGTTCTGTAAGGACGGACTGGGGTGTATGTTTGTCATGTTTGCCCTTAATACACCATTTAAATCTTTTCGGTTAAGTGAAATGTACTCGATTCTAGATTTATAAGTAAAATTGTGTGCGTGTAATTGAAGGGAGAAATGTGTATTTGTATTTTGACTTTTCCGTTCGTTGGGGTGTAATATAAGTTTAGTCTAAGTGAAAATATCCGTCGCGCATCGAGTAGGTACCGAAATCCATTATGAGTGCAGGTACATAATATAATTTCCCCTGACAGGAGTAGGTAAGTAGTAGTAGTAGTAGTAGTAGTAGTAGTAGTGGAAGTGCATTGATAAAAACACAATACGCGAAAGCTTTGGGTTAAGTCCAAAACGGTCGAGCCGAGGAGTGGACAGGCAAAATAAATACCGCGGAGAGAAGAAAAATACAAAGCACTTAGCGGCCGACAACACAATACAGATTATACGGTTAGCACATATAAATGTGTATACGAATTTAAGCGAACCGTAAATAACTGACCGAAATTACCGGTCGTTTCTCAAACGCGTGAACAGAAAAAAAGGGTTTTCTTTTTTAAATTACGTTTTAAAAATATACAAACGACATAAAAAAAAAGGTCGGTACCGATTTCGGACGTTTCATTAGTGATTAGCTAAAGGGGTTTGCTTCGTCGGGCAAATACAATTATTGTAACGCGCTCGCCGCGGCCTATTATTATTATTGCTATTGCCAAATTAAATGTAGGCGGCGCTACAATGGCAATATTATGTGTACCCATTAACCATATTATGTATACCTATATATATATATTTTTTTTTTTATACAATGGTCGGCTTCCACTGGCAAAACCGTTATGACCGGTTCGTGTACAATATTTAATTTATGTTTTCGGCAAGACGGTCGTCCCGAATTGATTACACGCGATCCGCTTTTTTAATTATTGCGGTTCGTCTTCTACGCGATTTGTTGTTTTGTTTTGGTTTTTTTTACAATCCAATTCCCGCTAAAAATCTGTTTGGACAATATTCGTATACCGTAATCGCGCGAACCCGGATGCCGCTAAAAAGGAATTTTCATACACGGCAAACGAGGAATTTTTAATAAAATAAAGAAAAAAAAATATTACATTATTCGGTTTGATTGAAAAAAATTACCGTGCGGCGCGACATTATGATTTTTATACACAATAAAAAAAAAAACGGATTTATTGCACGCAAACTATATACGGCCGACCGGTTTGGCGTATACGGATTACCATAAATTCACAATCTTCTTCGAATTTCTCTCGTATACTCGTTAACGATTCGCCGGAATCTTCGGGAAATAATACATTTATGTTAATACACGGTGATGATAATGACCACTATTACCGGCTTATGGTGTAATTTTGCGTTGTCGCTCAGTACTTCTTATAGCACGCGCATTCGCGGTATAGACAATAATAATCGTTGTATTGGCGGTTGATGTGCATGTGGAATTTTGATTGGGCGTTTTAAAATTATTATATTATGCACGTTTATTATTATTATGTTCAAGTAAAGACACCGTTGGCCATAGGTCCGTCTCGCGCTTAATGCGACCGAGACCTCGGCTTCAATGACTGATTGACCGTTAAAATAGTATTACAACCTACGACGTCACGGACTTGGTGTGTCCTATGTATAGGCAATGGCGTCACGCGTTTTATTCCTTCTTGGAGAACTTCGCAAGTAGACGGCCAAATGCGGAGAGAAAATTTTGTTGTACCCGGAGAATGGAGAACGTATTCGTGCACAGTGTACGCTGACTCGGACCTATACAGATTACCTACGGAATGCCAAAGAGCCAAAATGAAAAAAGGCAGCCAACAAAAAAATAATTTCTCATCGGAGTTAAAAAATAAATCTAGTATCCATTTACAAATTACTAAAAAATGTTCAAGGACCAAGATCTAAAGAGTTGAAAAACAGAAGAAATCGTTCCCTTGGATTTTGATTCGAAAAGGGGGTTTCCTATGATATATTAGTATGTATTGTATATGTACAAGTAATGTTATATCAATATAATTATTTCATACTTGTCACCATTCCCTGTTTTTACTCTATCAAAAACCTGATATTATGAACTATTAGATGTTAGCGAATAGTGCCTATATCGTTTCAAAATATATTTTATTAAATATTTAAAATATATTAAATAATTATTAAAATAATTGTGCATTAGAAAAATTAATTTCAAAATGTTTTAGTTGCTTTTTTAATACATTATTCATACTAATATACATACCTAGTATTCATACGAGTAAAATAATAATATATTTTTCAAAAAAACCTCAACCATAAAAAAACACGCTTATTTCAGTAGCATTCTGCGCAATACTACCATTGACAGCGCTCTCACAGCACTGATTCATATCAGTATTTAATTTTATTATAGTATGTTTAATTATTGCAAAACGTGTGTTTTACAGAAAAATAATCTGATTGAACGGTGGGAAATCGGTTTCCCCCACACCCTGTGGTCACTTAGTAAATAACTAAAAAGCTTTTTATAAAATACATTTTTTTGATAAAAATTTTAATTAAGTCCCGGTATGTGTTGAATGGTGTTTTTGACATTTAAACGTTATCGGGAATAATTTCACTTTGAATTTTATTCCTTACTAAACTCTTGCTTTGAAATAATAATAAACCCATTTTCTACGGTATGTATTACTGTCCGTTTTTGTAATTTAATCATTCCAAACGTCAATTAGACTTAAATTGTACCCAAAAACTGTAACAGAAGTGCGGAGCCGTAGTAATTGCTAAAAAGTTATCCGGATTACCGAGCGGATTATCGTTTGGCGGATTGTTATTACGGGCAACTCAAAATGCATCCGGAGCGGTAAGCCCGTTAAGTCTTTGCCTCCGTTTTACATTATGCAATCTCATAAAATCGCATTATGCCTAATTGAAACGGGCAATTCTGCGCACAAAGCGAAGACTTAAGATTCGATTGTATGCGACACAATAGAGAACTGTCTCGTTGAGTGTATACAGTCTGATTCTGCGGAATAGGATTCTTAATGAATAATAACAGACGGCATTTTAGTACCACGACATTTGCCGCCGAGTTCTTACTTGTTGGTCGGCGCGAAACGTTTTCCGAGGCCTCCAGTTCCTTGTCGGGTCGGCGGCGGCCGTCGGGTCAGCTACTTCGGGCCAAGGCAGTTCCAGCAGCGTGACCGGCTGCCGGCCGTCCAGCCGAGGTACACACGCGTAAGCTCTGTTCCGCCAGACCACCACGTCGGACAGCCTGACCCCGCCGTGCAATCCGTAATGTTCCGTCACGTTCCAGTCGGAAGCCACCGCCGCGGCCGGCGGACGGGGCGCCGTCGAGACGACGCGCACGGCCGCCATCGCCGACGCCATCACTGTGAACGCAGACACCGACATGAGTACACTGTTCGCGGCGAAACTGTTTTGTCAACAGGCCCGGACCGCGGTAAATTATAATAACATCAATACGTATACACAAACACGTATTTACAGCTCAACGGTAGCTCATACGCGGGATCGTGTACTGTAAACAATGGTGTACCTATTTACGGGGGCAGGGACACTCCCTCCACAGACCCCCAGAAAATAAATTAAAGTTATTCGATAAATTATAACGTTGTTTTTTGTTTTGTTTTACGGCTTCCTAAACATTTTGGACCTTCCCCGAGAAAATACGCCGCTGACCGTAAATAGTAATTGTATATATATATAATTACCGGGCGCGCTTAAATAAATTTACAAAGAGAGGGGCGGCCAGCGGACAGCGGTCCATTTGTACTTGTGCGGGTGCGGTCGAGGATAGAGGAAATTAATACTTAAAGAGCAGCAATTAATAACCACCCCGGCAACACTCACACGCACACATATACACGCTAAATGAGACGGCCGGGCATAGGGTAAACGGGTGCGTCGGTCGATAAAACAACTTGCCGTCGGTCCTCGGCTGTGTAATGCTCTGCACATATATACCTGTCCGAAAAGGGTATAGTGGCTGCTCTACGGTCTTGTGCGAGGGGGCTGATTTGCCGAGGAGTTTATGAGCGTCCTCCCGTCTGATTTTTCGACGATAAGAGCCAGAAGCAACCCTGACACGAGTAAGGGACGGCCGGTGTGCCAATACAGAAACGGCCTACGCACATAAAGGGAGAACAGGCCCCGAGCCGATCGCAAGATGCCCATTAAATCCGAACGCGATGCCGCGTTGTTAATTGGACGAGTTTGTCAGCTCCCAATAACAAAGATAACAGCTTTATAATTTTATAGCGCAGAACAAAGGGACGGCGACAAAACGCTCATCTCGCCCGTTACACGTACGTCGGTACGAATTTTTCGGATTAGGTGTCGAGCTGCAGAGTGCATTTTTTTTAGAGTTTAATAATTCAATACGAATTATAATATGTACCATCACATTTAAGTTACAAGCTGCGGACGGCCACGCGGCCTTTTTAAAACACACCCGTATTGGCTGATGTTTATCGATTAGGTATGTACATAAAACGTATGGCACGTAGCTACGATATTAATATATTTATAATAAACATATTATAAATGACGCATGGTGTAAATTATTCCGGTCGGATTAGGTCTCTGTCGAATTGATACTTCGTGTTTGATAACTTGAGAATAACAACGAATACAAATATTGATCATGATTGAAAAATTTAATCATGGGTAATAGTTAAATTAATCATGATTGAAAAAAATAATCATGATCAATTTTTAAATTAATCATTTGTGGTTATACGAATAATCAACTTTTATTCGAAAAATTATTTAAATAAAATATTAACTAAATAATGCCCAACTCGTGGTTTACCGAGATCCGTTCGGGTCGGACTGTGTTGAAACAATTTTCATTGTACGGCTCTGCCGCATAACATATTTGGGCAATTCGATTATACTTAAATTCCGTAATGACACCGTTTCATATAGTCCGACTTGCAGTTAATTCCATCGATACAGCATGACACGCTAACGACAGTTTTTAACGTTATGGCATAATCATTTTTAGCTTGATTAATAAAAAAAAAATCATCAATGTACTTACTACATATTGATAATCACAAGTTACCTATTATTGTTTTGTCTGTAATACAATAAGGCAAATGTGATGCACACGTGATATTTACAGCTCTATCGAAGCAAAATAACTGGTGTTGAATGGATGTAAAAACACACGTTACACGCCTACACTACTGCAACGAATGATTGAATTTACATGGCCATCGACGGTAATGTAATAAACATCAAACTCACGAACAAACACTACAATGTCTGCATTATACGTCGTATAAATAATATATATCGATGGAATAACGATTGGTGAACCCGATCGATTAGGGCTTTCGGCGTAACACCCTTTGTCGAGGTGTCGAAGAAATTGGTAAACGATTTTAAAAGCGTTTTTTCATCCCTTCCCGAGCAAATAAATACACCTACGCGAGACACAAGCACAAGAATTGGTTTTGTTTAACCTTTGAAAAAGAAAAAAAAACGCTCACACAAGTATAAATTCATTTTTCTCGTTTGTCGTTTCCGACTTTTTGCAAACAGATTTGATTTTTTTTTTATTTTTTAAATCGAAAAACATTCAAATATTTAAATATAGGACACCGCTTTGTGCACACGATTATATATATATATGTGTGTGTGTGTGTGTGTGTGTGTGTATATATGTATTTAGTTATTCGACGGGTTTACCAGAAGCGTGGTAAATTATTATTTATTTATTTATTTATACTGCGAATTACATTGAACCGCGGACGGAATTGCATTTTTCTGTATACCCCTCAAATTGGTTTTCACTGTATTTGTTTTTTGATCTGATTAGATTAGGGCGAAATAATGATGAAGTGGGTTCGCAAATATTATACATTTTTGTATATTTAATTTGAACGCCAGCGTTTTCTGCGGTCCTCGATAAACACAAAAAGTTACCGGGAAACGATCAACATCACAGTTGCCAAAAAGGATGTACGAAAGTACATTAGTACTGAATTATTAAACTATGAGTATAATTCAAGTGGCAATAATTAATTTGAATTTGGTTAATTTTATATGTTTATATATTAGGGTGGACCAAAAAAAATGTTGTTCTTCTCTTGACATTATGTTCCTTGGAGTAAAATAATATTTCCCTATTTTTTCAGATTTTAAAATTATTTTTAGAAGCTGTGAGCATCAGTTTTCCAAAACATTTATTTTTAAATTTTTAAAGGTATAAATATCAATTTTAAATAAATGTTGCTTATATACAAAATCATCATTAGAAAAAGAGGAATAAACCGGTTTTTTTTTTACAAAAAAAACTACTATCGAACTAATTTAGGCCATAGAATGTAAAATTTGCGAAAACATTGATATAATATATACTATTAATAGTAGCCTAAAATATTTTTTTAAGAGTATAAAATATTTTTAACTTATTCCTCATTTAGTTGCGAAGAATTCCGATATACTTACATAACACGTTGTTCTAACAATAGATCAGAAAAAAATGATTTAAAAAAATAAAAACAAAAAAAAATATTTCATAATATACTCTTTTGGCATTATGATTGCACAGCGGTCAGCAATGCATAATGTCTTATTCACAACAGTTGCCATTTGGTGTTCAATTATTGATTTTAAGCTTTTGCAAATAAAATAACTATTTCATTAACTTCCATTAGTTGTCTTGCATATTATATTTCAAATAATTTAGGCCACTGTAGTATTTTATTTTATTCGATAAAATATTTTACTTATGGCCCAAACTGGAAAATAACCCATATTTTTATTTTGAAAATGATTAATGCAGGTATAGATAAATTATTCGCGTTAACTCATATTTTTGGTATGCTAAAAAAAAAACGCTCTGCGGGTTGGTCTGACGGTCACGTCCCTAAGCTTTATGGATTATGAGCTTATAAAATTGGTCGCCTCCAAGAATTTGATTTAATTTTTCCACGAAAACGTTTGAGTAGGGTTTCCTTTTTTTCCATCTACAAAAATCGAGAAATATAACACAAGATCTCAAAAAAGGTAAGCGGAAGACGCGAGAGCTGCAACATTTATGTCCAGACTTGTTCGTGACTGACATTACACACATATACACTCGAACAACGAGAAATTATATTAAAACACCATTCTTTTGGCGGCGATTGCGTGCTTCTCTCAATTTATGTCTCTTTTATACGTGATTTGCCGGATGATACCGAGTAACGCAAAACTCGAATTCAATTAAACGCTTCTGGGCCGAGAAAAAAAATATATATAAAGATATACAATATACATAAAGAACAGCAAGAGCTGTAACGCAGTATAAAAACGGCAAATAATGAACGCGTGCCCATTCAAAAAAACAAACGCCATAAGGCGAAATTGTTTGAAACTTTGAGTAAAAAAGAAAACAGTAATAACAGAGCAGCCTTTTTCGACTGAGTAAGATTTTTTCCTTTTATTTTTACAAGCTAACGGGCGCAGATTTAGAAATTAAAAAATGGTAAGCAAAACGGCTAATTAAACATAGTACATAATATTATGAAGCATGCTAAAAAATCCTACCTAATTCATAATCACCTTTAAAAGTAAATTAAAAATAACAAACGATTTTAAAAATATAGTAATAAGGAGTTTTTTTTCACACTTATTTCACGGCAAGAAGTAAGAACTGTATCAAATTTACCATCAATGATGATTGATGGTTATAAATTATAATATACTGCCCTTTAGACAATTTAATTTGAAGCGCAAATGTATCTCTTGGATCGGAAAATAATTAATTTGTAAGTACGATTAACGGTGGCAGATATGTTTAACCGTTTTCCTTAAGTACGGGTAATTTTCGAATAATCGTGTACGTTAACCGAATCAGATCAATCTTACCCAACTTCAGATACTAGTCATTAGCCATCGAAGGGAAAACATTATTTATCGGATGGGTTTACCTCTGTCTGGCGGTAAAACTATGCGAATTGGGTCAAGCAGCAGAATATCCAATCTGAATAATTTATATAATCGCATCAAGGTTCGTGGCTGGTGTCGACAATAAACGAATAAGTCACAGTATAAGCCGTCACGGTTAACCGTGGTATAAAAATTAGGGATAATATCCCTTATCCCATGTCTGGAAAGTCAGTGATTATTTCAATGGGGTAATACTCCTCCCCCACTCGGGAAGGATTGTATCTATAATTTTTTAAATTTTACTGTGCTTTAATATTATTTTTAAAATAATAAAAAATAACTTCTATTTTTAAATATTTGTCAATATTATTCAAATCCAAATATGATTAATAATAAAAATATTCTTAAGTACTTTGGTAATTACTGACGACGTCTCGAAAGCGAATTTTTTTTTTTTTTTTTTAACATTTTATTGGTAAAACAAACAATCTGTAATTATTATATTACAA